ATTTGTCAAACAATAATTCCATTATTTCCATAAGAACAATTGATAAAGATTTAAGTTCATCAAAATAATTTTTTGGTTTAAAATTTAATTTAAGTTCATCAAAATAACTACTTGAAGACTTGAATTAGAGTTAGAACTTAGATGTAGAAAAGAAAACTTACAGTGTTGTTGCCATTGATTGAGTGTGTTGATAGGGATCGATGATGCAGATGCAGATGCAGATGCAGAGTAATGAACCCGGAAAAAAAAGGAATAGAGAGAGACTGAGAGAGAGCTCAGACTTTGAGAGAGACTTAGAGAGAGCTCAGACTTTAAGAGACTGAAAAAGTTTCTGTCTTCTGATTGTTGTCGTTGGTTGCAGAGCAAAGAGAGAGAGGGAGTAAGCTTGAGACTTGAGAGGTGAGGTCAAACTAAATTTGCCCTATTTTATTTTATTTTTCAATGGCCCATTATTCTTGCTGATACATTTGCCCTATTTTATTTTATTTTTCAATGGCCTATCATTCTTGCTGCATTTGGAGGCTGGCCCATCATTCTTGCTCCATTTTGATGGCCCTAAATTTGGAGGCAAGTTTCAATTACTACGGTTTGGTTATAAATTTTTTTTTTTTTTTTAGTGGCCCATCATTCTTGAGGTCCCTTATTTGTTGCATTTTGGTTATAATTTTTTTTTTCGATAGCCTAACATTCATGAACCTATAAAATTTGAGGCCCCTTAAATGATTTGATACATTTAGTTACAATTATTTTTTTTCTTTTGTAGACCATCATACATGGGCCTATAAAATTTGAAGCCCCCAAAATTCTGAGGCCCTAGGCGACCGCCTTGGGCCAGGGCCAGACCTACGTATAAATCTCACAACACGTTTACATCCACAAGTTTTCAAACAATAAACCGCACACCATCACTTGGTAAAAATTTGATGACCAATACACCCTCCACAAGGTGAATGTATCCCAGTATCTTCACCTCCATGTGAGACATGCTTTCTCGCAAAAGCACAAAAATTCTATTTACAGGCGTCATATTTAAATCCATAAGTTTCCAAAAGATAAAAATTTTATAGGACACTTATTAAGCCAACTATTTCATATGTAGTGAAATTTTTGGAAACAAAAACAATATTTAAGAAGAAAAAATATATATTAAAATTTAATAAAAATAATTCTCATCAATTTTTGACAAGTTATTTTACACGCCTAATAGACTTGATTTCAAACCTAAACCTTTGGCAAATATAAAAAAATAAAAATATTTTAACAGAAAAAGAAAAAAAAATTGGAATTTTTTTTTTTTTTTTTTTACCTTGAAACAAGTAGAACCTAAATTCCACAACCATAATAAAACACTACAAATCACACAATGTTAACTAAATTGAGAAAGTTCTTTCCAGAATTGTCCCTAGCTGCCACCACAATAGTGCCACCCCATCGCTGTTTTGATCGCGCCGAGAGAGGCTTGAAACTGGTAGGGTTGAGGTAACGTTGGTTTGGTCGTGCAGAGAGACAGATAGAGAAGGCTTGAAATTGATTGGCTGATGGTGTTGTTTTCTACTCCGCGGGTCTGTTTTGGTCAAATCATTGTTTTGGCTTTGTTTGTTTTTTTTATTATAGACATTTCATTTTATAACATGAGAAAATGTACTTATTTGTACAATTTTTAAAATGTAGGAGGTTAATTAAGCATCAGAAATAATTGCACATTTTGGATATAATAAAGGTGTTGCTTGCACTTAATCTTTTAAAAAAATTATAAATCAATAAATAATATTAATACTTTTTACCTAAAAACAGAATGATTTGCTTAAAAATAATTAACTATATAGAAAATAATATAAATCCCAATTTATGGTTGGATAATTCAGAATAGAAAACTAATTAAACTCAACTGACCATCATTCATTATATGTTTCTCCATGTATCCCTAAAACAACACAGTATTTGAACTTTTATTAAATGAGTTGATGTGGTGTAAAATTAGTCATAGATTTTACTTAAAATGCCATGTGTCAATGTGTAAGTGACTCTACTTATGATAATATAGAGGGCTTTTAACGTAGAAGATCCTTGTCCATATTTGACAAAGATAATAGAGAGAAACAATAAATAAAAATATTTTTATTTTGTGAATTGTGTGAAGATATCAATTATTCACTGGTTTAAAATCAATCTCCTATATTTTTCCTATGTTCCATTCTAATTCTAAACAACCAAAACAAAACAAAAAACAAATGATTGTCAAAGAGAATATCCTAAAATGAAACATTGAACAAAATTGAACTTGCACCCCATCCCAAATGTACCATTTAGCTCATCCTATACTGCGTTAAATAGAGAATGAAATACCTTTGCATCATTGTTGTATCCCCAATTTAATGAAATTGGGCGCCTAATTTAATGTTTGTGATATTGTTGTATCCCCAATTTAATGATTAGGATGTTCAAGAAATAAATGAATTATAAGTTAAATCCAGTAACAAAGCTTAAGACGGCAGAATTTACTTGAATGCCGTTAGTTATAATACAAATAGGCATTACCCAATCTCTTACCTAACCTTTTACAATATTTTGTATTAAACAGAAAGAAAAATAGTGATAAGAAATCAAAGGTCATAAAACAGATTTTTAGTGAACCACTAGGCTCAATAGATGGCAGGACCAATCTCTCCTGAACTATAAGTTGAAGTTCCTTGCTCTAACTTCACAAAAAGTTTCCTGCTAACAGCAGTGTGAAACTCAGAAAAACAAGCTGGTTATTCATAATAATGCAACAATATCATGTCATGATAGTTGGTCACAAAACTCTCCACAAGATTAAGGATGCCCACACACACCATCATACCTTTCTAGTGGATAGACGCAGGTAATGCTGATGCTTGGGGCTGAGATAAAGACCCTGAAACAGGCACCATGCATATGATAAAATGAAATTAACATGGTGAGCCTTGCATTACTTAACAAGGCAACCGACAAGTCTTCCATAACACCCATCAAAGCACAAGCTCTCTGAAGAAGTCAAATATTTTTATGATTAGTTAATAAACTCAAATAATCAACCTGGAAGCTTTTGCAAGTGGAGTTCAACCAACATGTAAACCATGCCAACCATTATTACCTCAAAGCTCTCTGTAAAATATACTATGCGGTGAAAGCACAGAACAGTAACGAGTACAACAACTCGTATGAGTGAGTGCAAAAGAAAGGACCAGTAGTTCATAAGATTAGGAGGAAACAAACTGAATTGTCCATGCATCATCGTACAAGAACAACAAAATGATGCTTAAATTGTACAAATTGAAGTAAATCAATTTTTAAGCATAAAAAGCAAATGTCTACCATGGTTTCTTTAAGGGGGAAAAAAAAGAAGAATCACTAATAGGACTTTGCAATCCTTCAATTGATGCCACCATGTGGAGCTTATATGGTAGTTGTATGGGGTAGTGGCAGTGGCAGTACTAAATACAGCTCAGGAGAAGTTCCCCTAGCATCCATTCGTTCTTGAATCACTAATAGGACTTTGCAATCCTTCAATTGATGCCACCATGTGGAGCTTATATGGTAGTTGTATGGGGTAGTGGCAGTGGCAGTACTAAATACAGCTCAGGAGAAGTTCCCCTAGCATCCATTCGTTCTTCCAGAACGAATGGATGCTAGGGGAACTTCTCCTGAGCTGTATTTAGTACTGCCACTGCCACTACCCCATACAACTACCATATAAGCTCCACATGGTGATTTTCTATGGACTAGTAATAAAATATAGTGAAGCTGTTCTTAAATTCCACAAATATTACAACCATTCAGAACGAATGGATGCTAGGGGAACTTCTCCTGAGCTGTATTTAGTACTGCCACTGCCACTACCCCATACAACTACCATATAAGCTCCACATGGTGATTTTCTATGGACTAGTAATAAAATATAGTGAAGCTGTTCTTAAATTCCACAAATATTACAACCATTCATGTTCTTAAATTAAAGGGAAACCCTTGAAATTGTATCTTGCCTTGACTTGCCTCGACGACTTCAGGAATCACATTCTGATACTTGCTCAAAAACTTCCCCACAAACATCTTTTTAGTCATTTTGAGTGCATATATTAAGCTCAGGTCTTCCTCAATCAGATTTTTCGACATCAAAAGCTATAGAACAGTACCCCATCCTCTTCTCCAAGCTAAATAGCAAAAGTATTTGATTCCCTGATCTTCTCCTTTGAAACAGTCATACAGAGTGGTTTTAACTTGAATGCTGCAATAATGTCGACTTCTGACAAACCAAAACTAGAATAAACTCCCAATTTTTGCTCCCCGGGTGATTTGCTCATCATTGCCATTGAATGCATCGCTGACATGAATAGCAAATTTGTGGGATCAAAACCCATTTTTTTAACATCGCTGACCACCTCGGTAAACAGATCACTTTTTAAAAGTAGGAACTTTGGATTATTCAAAAAACCATTTTAGGACTAATGACTTGGGTATAAACCATTTTAGGACTAATGACTTGGGTACACCATGATTCAACAAGATTGCAATATTTGGTTCCAACACCTACTACTTTAATTCAAGTATTCCATAGCACGCTTTGATTGCTTTTAAGACATCCTCATTGGTGCCAACAATACGTCTAATGACTTGAACAGCAGGTATGATTTGGTTTTCAAGGCTTCTTCCAAGGATATAAGGTACAGATGACAATAACTCTGCAATTTCTGCTTCTGAAAAGCCCAAAGATTTGAAATACTCCAACTTCGGCTTAAAGGTTTTTTGACAAAAAAATCATTAAACCAAAGTTGGAATATTTCAAATCTTTATTTTTTCTGCTGCTGCTGATAAAATAAAAAATAAAATTACTGAAGCACGTTCAGATCGGCAGCAGCAATTGAAACACAAATGCATCCAACACTGCCAAATGACTACACAATGTGCTGTGCATATTCATGATAAAAGTTACCATCTTCTGGAGCTGCAAACACACAAGTGCTTATTCAACATAGATAACATACTCAACAAACAAGTGTTTATATAAAATACAAGGAAAGTGGAACTAATTCAAAAGATATTAGTAGCATCTTTATAGTCTTTCTTTATTGCCCACCTCTGTAGCTTATATTAGAAAATTAACAAAAAATCGAATACTTCAAATTAAATAATAAAATAAATTTCTGGATAACCTTATATGTCTATATTCAAATAAATAGATAGCTAGAAGCTATCTCTTTAAAAGAGAGAGAACTTTCTAGCTCTCTCTTTAAAGCATGGACGTCCCATATTTCTCTTTGGCTTCCTTGTCAAAAGGATCCTCTCCCAAATATATGTAGATATAAGACCTGCACAGTAGTTCACTTTCAACCTTGCTCACCACCTCACCCATAACTGCACTCACAAAGAACAACTTTTTTGGTTAAATTCAATACTGGCCAAATGCATAGCATGTAAATTCTTGCATCCCAAGGGCCAAGGACTTGCTTGATGGAATGCTGATCTAGTGATCAATAGGGATTAAAAAAGGGTATCAGATTCTGTATTTGCATAGGACTCTACAATTTCTCAATGTTGCACTCATTGACACATCAGTATTACAGTTTTTTCTAAGTTTCAGCTGAAAAGGGACCCTAGATCACCCATGTCATGTATAAATCTCCCATAGCCTAGTAGATGAGGGTACCGGGGCTTTAATTATATCCTAAGATGGCACCTAAGGAAGATAAAAATACCTACCATTGAGTTCTGATTTAGAATAAGCTCATTGTCTCACAATAGATGAAATGGGCTTTATTTATGATACAATACCGAGTCCTCTTGGCATTGCTTGTCCCCAGCTTCAGAACCAATAATAATATAGAAAATAAATAAATGAGTAAATAACTTATGAATGTCATAATTGCCTTCTTTTTAAAGCAATTTTAATAAGATCTTATTAAATGAACATAACCCATAAGAAAGAAATATGACAGGCTTGACAGCCACAGCCACCTACCACTTCCACCCCAACCACGGCCACCTCCTCCCACCATGGGCACTGTCCAGTGCCAATTTTCCATCATCACAACCATCAATATTTATTTTTTTTTATTTTTTTTCTAAACCCTTATTACACCATTTGGTTCTCTAGTCATTACTTATTTCTTTCTTTTATTTGAGGCTTTTTGTAATCCCAGTTATGTAAAAGGGTTAAATCACTTCAAGCATGACGAGGTTCCCAATTAGAGTCAATGAAACCATGTATTCAACTTACTGAACTGTGAACATTATTATAAGTGCAACTAAAAACATCATTCCGGGAAAAAGGTAATAGTCCTCCACTTTTGATTGTATTCTATACTGATTGAACAACAAGAAGATAACTTTTCATGATGTTATATACATTATTAAGTACATGGACAATTCACAATTCCAGAAAAAGGTACTAGTCCTCATGCTCTGTTCTAAATGAGGTGTTGAAAGAAATTGTTTGATATAGAACTAAATTTTGACATTGTTTTGATTTTGAAGGTTATAAATCAAATTCTATACGTTTGATATGTAATATTTAAGAGTGAATTTTTAGCCTTTCTAGGTACCAAAAATTAAGGCTATGTTTCACGATCTCGCTTGTGTAATAAGAAATGTTAATGAGAACAATTTTATTCCTTAACAAATTTCCAATCAGATTCATGTGGTTTTATATTACTCATTATTAGTGTTCAACAATTTCAAGTAGAATTCAAGGAGTTCTGGATCAACATACATCCCAATCAATTCATCACCCTTAAGCCCTCTTTTATTAATAACCCAAAGCCAATCACCACTAAGGAAGCCAATCAACACTGAAATCGAATTGAAGACTGAAAAATACATATACACAGACATGGAAATCAAATCAACACAAAACATATGCACAGAGAGATTGGTAATTGTTACCCAGAAGAGAAGAGTATTTTGGATCCAAATGATGGAAATCTGGATCCCAAATACAAAGCCATGCCGGACCCGGATTTTAGAATGAAATTGATTTTTTTTTTTTTAAATCAGAAAAGCATATATATACAAAGATATATATATGCAAATATATAGATTTCATACCTGTTGCTTTCTTCTAGAGTTTCACAGCGACGGAGGAGTGGCGATGGTGTAGGCGAGTTTGAGGAGAGTGTGTGTGGTGTAAGGGGGGGGGGGGGGGGGGGAGCGGGGGGAGAGAGAGAGAGGAGGGCAGAGGGCTGATGTCATCGGGATGATTTGGGGCTCGCAAAATGATTTACTAGCAGTTTGTAGTAAAAGATTTTTCTCGATTTTGGATTAATCAAACATCATAATTTAGTGTTGGGTGCAAAAAATCTCTCGGAGTTTTGCAACTAACCCTTGGAAATATAAAAAAATCCTCTTAAACTTTTAATTTTTTATAGTAAAAGATTTTTCTCGATTTTGAAATAATCAAACATCATAATTTAGGGTAAAGTGCAAAAAGTCTCCTTGAATTATGGGAGTTTTGCAACTAACCTTCAGAACTATAAAAAACCCTCTTAAACTTTTAATTTGTTGCAATTTGCCCACTCAGGCCACCGGAAAAGAAAAAGACGATGTTGCCCTTCCAATATTCTTATAATATTAAACCAACCAATAAAGGCTGATATTTATGTATTTTATATGTGACGGCCAAAGTCTGTACGACCCGGTGCGTCAGTGATGACCCAGAAGTTGACCTAGTAACGGATCTGAAATACGGAAGCAAAAGAAGTGAAACAGTCACTAAGGTAGGTGCAAACCCTAACTCTCGGTGTGGACTTCGACAAGCCACGAAACTGAAAGAATTAACTAGAAGCGGAAATAAAATGAATGAGTCAAATAATACCTTAGGGTACCAATGACGCCGAATGAACAAGATCCAGTTCAAACTAGACCACGTCCGCCATTGGATGGCTTTAAACAAGGTCAATGAAGTTAGTAGGAACGTACCAATCGGTGTAAGCCTGAAAAGGCAACAACCAAACAAAAACCCACGAGGCAGCTCCATTTTGGTCGGCCGAAATGAAGCTTCGGTCGGCCGAAATGAGCCAAGAAATGAGCCTTTACTTCGGTCGGCCGAAATGACAAATCGGTCGACCGATTGTGGCTCAAAATGGATATTGGCTACTAGAATTTGGTATTTACTATTCAAATAGCCATCGGTTGGCCGAAATGATGCTTCGGTCGACCGAAAAAGCTCGAATTTCTACAGAAAGTTCTGCAGAACCAGAAAATGAAAAAGGGCTTCAAAACCTCACTTGAATCCCCATGACATAATCAATTTGAAGTTTTGCTATTGTGTGACGAAGTGAGCATACACACAATTGTAATATGGTATTTTAAACATGCTTCTTCTATGGCCTACAGTCTTGTTAAGATTCATTTACAAGATTTTACGTGCCAAACCTCCTAAGTGGCTAAATTGCAATATTTGTGCAAAACATGGTGCTAAATAGATACAATTGATAATGTGAACATGCTTAGCCATTGGCCTCATTACATACACGCTAAAAGTATCAAATTTAACACTTAAGCACACATTACATGTTGATGAAGCGACATTAGCTTCTAAAATACCATACATCTATGGTATACCAAAATATAACATCAAAAGTAAAGCATGCTAAACATTTGCATGATAATATACAAAAATGTTTCAAATAACTCATAAGCCCCTAAGAATGATGAGCATCCAAGAACATAGTCTCATTACCTGTAAAATAACCTAAACAACTAGGGTGAGTAATCAAGTTACTTGTAGGAAGAAGCATATGCGCATACCCAAAGTTTCAATATCATTGCAAGATAATATAGACGAATACAAGGGATCATTCCACTTAACGTCTATGTTCAAGATGTTCTAAATGATCATCTTAAGTTAACTTAAATGATTCTATCGCATCGCAATATCTATATCAATGTATGTACTTAACAACATCAAATCGCAATTAACTAAAATTACAAGTCACAATTAAGCATTGGTTGTTAACTTGGAATTGAATGCGAAATCAATTAGTGGAAAACTTGGACATCAAATCCCGGAGTAAACCAAGACTTAAACGATTATTCCAGGCATTAACCAGCTGGGAATACCACCCTAGTGCGCATATAACGACCTTAAACTGATGCCAATTTAAAAAAAAAAAAAATCGGCATGACCTCTGCTAAAAAGGGACCTACGTCAACCTGCTTAAATGTATAAAAAAAAAAATGCAATGGCCTTTCTTAGACCATCAAAATTTATCTACCCTTTCCGAATTCACGGCAAAATGTACCACATTACACAGATATAACCATTACTAATTTCTCAAAGATATAATATCATCCTCCCTTTCAACATAAGCATTTACATAGTCTCAATTTACCTCAAAAGTAATCAAGTATCTTAGTTAAGTTACATGGCCATGATTTGCAAAAATGAATATTATTATTATTTTTTTCACAGTTTGTGACTTTACAAAAGATTAACTACTACGCAAAAGGTGCCAAAATAGATCTCTAATCCTTTTCATGCTTGAGAGGGATCGACATCCACTAATTCCTTTTCTAGCCCTGAAAAATGTTAAATAAAATAAGGTGAGCAAATTGCTCAGTAGGTGGTGCCTAAGACATACCTCTTGTGGCCCCGTGAATCCAAACAAGGAATAGGACAATAGGAAATGGGGTCATACTATATTGGGAAAGTACAACATAATATCCAATCTCACATAAACAATATGATGTTATGGAGTGCAATGGATGCCAATGTCGCTCCCCATTTTCAACATTCAAAAACCTTCACTTTCAAACTGTTAATATAACCCACTCTTTGGTGACCTCGCAGCGACACGAGAGAAGAATTGGCTAGTGTCTCTGACCCTTGGTACCCTCGCGGCATCATTTGGGGCCCAGCTAGCTCAACCACGCTAGGGCAATCTCCCTAATTCACTCTAAGCTATATTAACACACCAGCCCTTTGGTACCCCCGCAGCGACCGGGTTTTCTCAAAACCATCTTTATCAAAACTTCTTCCCAAAATTTCCTTTTTTCATTTCAAATCACATTAATCCCATCACATGCCCAATGCTAGTGCATGTATGCATCATGCCATGTCCATGTTCATCATCCCATAACTAGCACAAATTTAATTAACATAATATTATTCGCAAGAATTTCCAAGGAAATTATAACATGCTTTCATACAATCAAAATCTAGCATGATAGGCATATGAAAATCAACACTTAGGCATGTTCTTCACATAGGTCAAATAATACACATAGTTACACATTAACTTATATACACAACAACTAAATAATTTGCTATATTCTATACAAATTAATCATGCTAAACAACAATTCATGAAGGGTTAACTCACAAAAGTACAAGATTGCATGGATTAAGAACCCCTACCTCAAAATTATGCAAAACCCTTAAAATGGGTCCAAATTTTTGGACTCCCTAAAGTGGCCAAATACTAAAACTGCTGGTATGGATTTGAAGGCCTCGTCGTGGGCTTCGATTAGCCGTAAACGGCTTCCAAAAATTCTAAATATTGAAGGAGAAATCTTGATTTGAAGTTATGAAATGAAAAAGAAAAATAGAAAAGCAGAGAGGAAAAAGGGATGCAGCTGCAGGGAGAGAGAAAGAAGCTGAGGTTTGGTAATGACCTCTTTGGCTTATTACATAAAATGTAATAAGGTAGGTCCCACTCAATTTTTCTTTTCTTTTCTCTTTTTCTTTTATCTTTTATCTTTTAATTTACACCACACATATACATATGTACACATTTAATTTACAACCACTTAAAACACAATAAATAAAAATAAATATAATGCAAATGGACCCAACTAAAATCCCCGTACACAACAATATCGATAACGGGTCCCACACGGGTCCGTCCGGCCCAAAAAACTGAAACATGCAAAAATAATCACCCTTACATTTCAAGGAGTTCTGGACTCAATGAAATGTTTTAAACAACTCACCGACACACTCGGCACACCCCACGGTGTCCGGTACACACAACGTGAAAAGACAAAAATGCCCTTGCTACGACAAAATTTCTGAAAAAATAAAATAAAATAAAATAAAAAATGGCAAAAATTTGGAAACATCACAATCTACCCTTCTTAAAGAGATTTCATCCTCAAAATCTACCGTCCTTATGAAGAAGGCCCACAACCACACATTCTCCTCTAATAACCCCTCACAAAATATCGAAACTATGATACTAACAGGCCAGTGGCCTAGCGGTACCAAGCCCATACTTCTCAAAGAGAGATTAGGGGTTCAAGCCTCAATGGAGGCATATGTGTCTGAGTACCCAATTAGGAAAAAAAAAACATCGAGACTATGAACCCACTGATATTATTGCCTTTAATACCGGACGTCACCAGGCAATCACATACCACTGCCATTAAAACCAAATGCGGTACCCATCTCTCATCTCATTATGACATAAGACCAACTAGGCTCTATGCCTAACTCAAAACGAACATCAGTTTACTCTACACAGTCACAAAAGGCTCCAAAACCCCAGAAAATGACGGTTATCAGGCTACCGAAAAAGACAACATCTAACCTCAACTTATCCTTCAAAGGACACACCAAACCCCAAATAAGAAATCCTATCTATCTCTCGATCCATCTCAAATCTAATCTACGCGTCCCTGACAGACCGAACACTTGCTATCTAGTACATAGCTACACCACCACATAACCGTACCAACAACTACAATTCACACTGTATAACAATCATTATACTTAACAACTTCAAGATAATTAAACAATGAGTCCCCCAATGACTACATAAACATTAGTCACCAAATTAGTCAAACGCACTATCCTGTACCCCGGGCACAAATCCTCAAAACCAGATCTTCAATAATTAATGATTATACCACAAATCCTTTATCGGGCACTTGGTGCCACCTAACATACCTCATCACCCGAGATCAACCACCTGAATTCACACTATCACATCAATACAATGCCCAAAACCATACTCTCACTGTTCGTGACGACTCAAAACAATTATTGACCTTTGACCCGACATCGTGCTAAAGAGGGATTGATCTAGGAGAAATGGTTGGCCAGGCTATTCTCATCATCAATCCAATCTCAACACAGACGTCGTTCTTGTCCTCAGGTCTAAACCTCAAACATAACCCTACACAGTCTATAAAATAACTACA